GTGGTGCTTTCCTTATTGTGTTATTGCTGATTTTTTTGCCAGGTTATGACTTATCAGGCAATGTGGAAGGATGTACTTTGAAGTTTGAAGGGTACTTCGAGTAGTACCGTTGCCCCTGGCTGAGTATTGCAGTTGGTAGGCAGTCTTGGCATGCATGGCCCCATAATCTAACCTGTTCTTTGCCATGGGAGCAAAAAAGATATATCCCATTCTCAAACCCACGTCTGAAAAAAGGGACAAGGGATCTTCGAGGCCAACAATTCCCATGCCCACCTCTGAAAAAAGGCACAAGGGACCTTCGAGGCCAACAATTCCCGTCAAGAACCTCCGAGGCTCCGTCATAGTGAAATCAGGTTATGGTTTATGAACCTAGATTTTATGGGGAAGTATTGGCCTTGATGGGCACCATCCAGATCCAACGGATTCGGATCTGACCGCGATTAGCCCATATGTTCTAGTCTTTTGGACGCGGAGTCGACTGGTTTCGGTCCGAAAAGGCTGCGATGCAGCGTTCGGCCCTTTATTCGCAATCGAAACCGGTTGAGTACAGTAGAGTCGTGCGCTGAAAAACGTGGAGCCCAAGAACGTCCAGCCTGAAATTCTAAGAACGCCACAGCCTAAAGCTAAGAACGGCGGTGTTGGTTTTCTGGCAGCTTGTGGGATACATAATGCAGGACGGATTGTTTCTAAGAACGTGCTATAAGAAAGCAGCCAGATTGCTGACAGAATTAGAACGTCCCAGGCTAACCCCTTGGAAACAACGTTCTTGGGCGCGCGACTCTACTGTAAGCGGTCACGTGCGCGTGCTCGTGCGTACACCAGTCACCTGGTCACCCGGCCTGCAGGCTACAACTTTCACACCAAGGTTCAACCTCAAAGGTTCAACTCGAGTGACAGGAACGCTGTAAAGTTGTAGCCTGCACCCTGCGGGCACGGTAGCCAGGTGACTTGTGTGCGCACGAGCACGTGACTGCTTACTCACCCGGGTTTGATTGGGAATACGGGCCGAACGCTGCATGGCAGCCTTTTCGGACCAAAACCAGTCGACTCCGCGTCCAAAAGACTACAACATCTGGACCAATCGCGGTCATTCGTGCTTTTAAAGGAACGAAATAGCACTTTTAGTCTTTTAGTGACATTTTGCATAATACAAATCCCCATCTAGTAGGGCGCAGTCACCCAGTTTCGTTGGAAGTGCGCGAGTTCGATTGGGAATAAAGGAGGAACGGAGCATCTCAGCTTCCTCAGACCAAGACCAAGACCATTCGACTCCGCACCCCGAAGACTGCAACTAGTGAAAATTTGATTTTTAGGGTATACTTCCCCTTTAGCCTTTAGTCACGATATTCCACTGGTGAATATGACGTGAAATCAATTTTGGAAAGCCTTCATGACTTCGTTGTTGTGTAGTGATGGCGGCGGAATTCATCCTATTTATTTGCTATTTATAAACCCTAACAGATCACTTAAAGGCCCCGGGAAGTTAAGCCTAAAATCAAGTTAGCATCAGTTGTAGTCTTCGGGGTGCCGAGTCGAATGGTCTTGGTCCGAGGACGCTGAGATGCTCCGTTCCTCCTTTATTTCCAACCGAACTCGCACACTTCCACCGAAACTGGGTGACTACGCCCTACTATCGTACGTGAAGGAGAAGTCTGCGACAGACCAGCTTATTATACTTACCCAGCAAATGGCCGACTACATTGATGAGCGTCTGAACTTCGACCTGGTCTCCCTAGATTTCTGAAAGGCATTTGACAGAATAAGCCACTCAACTCTCCTCCGTCAAGTCAGCAAATGCTCGGACCATAAAGTCACTGCCTGGACTAAGAGTTATTTGCAGGATTGACGGATAGCTGTGAAGATTGAGTCATGCATGTCAGTGCCCAAAGTCACCAACTGTGGTGTACCCCAGGGATCCCATCTGTCATCTCTAGTGTTCGTGATCTACATTAATGACCTACCAGAAGCCATACTTCACTCGCACACCTTCTTGTTTGCGGATAATGTCACTCTAATTTTGTCCTACAAAGGCTCTCTATCCAGTCCTGCAATCCAAGCAGACATTCATGCATGCCAAAACTGGGCCAGGGAAAGAGGCGGAGAGTTTTTCCCCTCAAAAACTTGGCCTCTGTTTTAAGTTTCCGTTATAAGCCAGCGGCAGCATCGTGACCAGCACCAACATCTGCCACCTACACTATGGAGGGTCTACCTCTTCCCAATATTGACATCCTCAAACATCTGGGAGTTCGCTTCAGTGGAGACCTAAACTTCCGTCAACACTACCTTGACATCAGCCGCAAATTCAAGCAAAGAGTAAGCCGACTTTGTCACATGGCACATCGTCTTACACCGCAGGCCATGGTGCTCCTCTACAAGTGCTATGTTAGACCAGTGATTGAGTATAGTGTCGTAGTGTGGTCCTTTCGTCTTCGTTCAAGCGACTTGTTGTTGTTGTTAATTTTGACTGAGCTGGATAGAGTCCAGGCCAGGTTTGCAAGATCCTACCTTAGGAAACGCAAAATTCGAATTGACTTTAATACACCCAAGCAGGATCTTAACCCTTTACCGGCAAGTGCATTTTGTATATGAAATCCATAAGATTGAGAAGGATGCCAAAAACTCACAACGAGGGCACATTTTGTATGTGCAAGTTATGTTTTCTTGGAAGTCTGGTACTACTTCTTGACGATGGAAAAAATTATTTTCATATACCACACACATACGCTACTAAATTGGCACCTATACGTCTAAACATGGAAATTGTACACAATGCAAATCGTCAGATTCCGACATTGACATGAAACTGCCAAAACAAGTCGACATCAGAGTGGAAACGAACGCCATAGCCATCACAGACTTCAGTGGCCGTGCCTCGCTCGCAATTGAGAGCAGCATCGCCCCAAAATCGCTGTCCGATGGCTCCGTAAGGTCGTGCGCAAGTCGCGCAGCGCTGCCGTCACTCAGGTACGTAGAAAGTCGATGGCTTAAAATTCCGTCTCTGGAAGACTGTCGACACGGGGATCACTCTCCATGGCTTCCAGACCATAAGCACCATCAGATTCTTCCAGTTACCATGGTTACATCCAACGACATCGTCTTCAGCGGCTGGAGCTCCCGATATTTGCGTGAGAATTTACTTGGCGTGCGCTCCGCTCCGCAATTTGAAATTTGCTTGCATCGGCGGCTGGAACGAAGTATTTATCTATCTGTCGTGGGTCCCAGAGCTAAGGTCTGCTAGGTCCTCGTCGGAGAAGTCCTCTGAGGACGAAAGGAACTCACTGCGCAAGAGGAAATGAACCTGACGACGTTTTGACGGAGGCAGACGGCATTGTCGGCGCGCGTGTATTTCCGTAAATTTTCGATCGCGCAGTTCTCAATGAAATCAAATGGGACACGCGTAGATCTCTTCAGCTACGGATAGGATCATACCTAGGCTGTGTGAGGGCCACGGGAAATCCCCGTGGGCTGATGCTTCCTGTCATACCAGGCATGGGTTTAGTATGCATGTCGAATGCGTCGTTTACGACGCATTCAAGTATGGGGCTGCCGGTAAAGGGTTAATAAAAAAAGCTAACATTGAATCCCTTCCTTACCGCAGACAGTTTATAAGCTTGGTTACCATGCACAAATTTATTTTCAGGTATCGACGTTGCCTAGCTTCATTCCATTTCAATATCACGCAGAGTGCGAGACGCCCAAACAAAATTATTCTCCCTAAAGCAAAGACCACATCAAAATTGTTGTTTCTCTTCCAAACCTCCCTCTTATGGAACTGCCTCCCATCAAGACTAACTGCAGAACCATCCATTATTGTTTTCAAGAATGAGCTTCGCAAACTCACTTGCAAACATAGTGCTTCGCTCTCCGGTATGCCCATACCATGTACTAACCCCCCTGTGTGCTCCCCAACGCATTCACGCTGCACAACTTTTCACTATACTTTCACTTTAGCTCATACATGTACACGTACACCCTTCAAAGCGGTGAACCCCTTGATAGGCGACAAGCCTCTGGGTCATCCTAATAAAGATAGTATTATTATTATTAGATGGGGATTTGTATGTAAAATATCACTAAAAGCGCCATTCCGTTCTTTTTAAAGCACGGAGGACCGCGATTGGCCAATATGTTGTAGTCTTTCGGACGCTGAGTTGACTTGTTTTGGTCCAAGAAAGCTGCGATGCAGCGTTCGGCCCTTATTCCCAATCGAACATAGTTGAATAAGCGGTCACGTGCCCAAGCATGCACAAGTCACCTGCCACCGTGCCTGCAGGCTTTCACACCAATATTCAACTAGTCACTTGAGTTCAACTCAAGTGACAGGAACGTGCCCAAACAGGCTGTAAGTAGTTGTACCCTGCCGAGGTGACTTGTGCACGCATGAGCACGTGACCGCTTATTCGACTATGTTCGATTAGGAATACGGGCCGAACGCTACGTCGCAGCTTTCTCGGACCAAAAGCAGTCGACGCAGTGTTCGAAAGACTACAACATATAGGCAATTGCGGTCATCCGTGCTTTTATAAGAACGAAATGGCGCTTTTAGTGACATTTTACATACAAATCCCAATCTAGTAGGGCACAGTCACCCAGTTTCGGTGGGAGTGCGCGAGTTCGATTGGGAATAATGGAGGAACGGAGCGTCTCCGCTTCCTCAGACCAAGACCATTCGACTCAGCACCTCGAAGACTACAACTGGTGAAATTTTGATTTTTGCCTTAACTTCCCCTTTCACCGTCAGACCATACATTTGTGGGTCGAATTTGACCCATCCTTTGAAATACTCTTAAATTCCAGATTCGATCGAGGGCAGCGTTTGATTGGACCTTGGACTTGGTGGATCCAAAGGATTCACTCGATCGATCTGGATCCGGATCCAACAAATAGAACATACCATGGTCTATCATAGATCACTGTATATCACGATGCACACCCCGCACTCCGCAGCACAATGTTTACTTACACATTAGGCGACTTGATTTCGAGCCGCTTCATCCTTT